CGGAGTGGGCGAGATGGTGTTGTGTGAGGGACGAATGACTAGTGTTAAATACACTGAAGTTCTGGAAACAGCACTAGCAACGTCGATAACGCAAATTTTCGGTGATACAAACACCGATGGCCTGAAATTTCAGCAAGACAATGCCACTTGCCACAAGTCCGCGCATACCATGAAGTGGTTTGCTGAAAATCATATTGATCTTTTGGACTGGCCACCACAATCACCAGACCTCAACCCGATTGAGTATATTTGGTCCATTTTAAATAAAAATATCCGCAGGCACTCGATTAGCAATAAACAAGCTCTATTGGCCGCGTTACAGCAGGAATGGAAAAATATATCAAGAGAAGAATGTTTCAGGCTGGTAGAGTCAATGCCAAAAAGAGTGGCTGCGGTTATTAAGTCAAAAGGTGGCCCTACAAAATATTAATTATTTTCTTAAAATAAACCATTGTAATCATAAATGCAGTTTTATTTACACTCGCTATACTAAAACACCCTAAAACTTGTCTTACTGTAGGGTGCCTAATACTTTTGCCCGTGGCTGTATAATAAGTTTGACATCACCAACCCTTCTTGAGCGAGCGTGGTGATTAATGCTCAAACCTTCTCCATGTGAGAAGAGGCTCAGCAGTGGGCTCTAATAGGATGATGATGATGGAAACATCTCATATAATCTCCTATATTATGAATATGCATTGAATATATTCATATAATTATGATTTCCCAGGTCGGTGGAAGAGGCCAAAGCGAGGTTGGCGGAGGTGTAGCGAGCTCTGAACATCACCGAGCTGGGTTCAGACTTGAGATCCTGCACGAGACTGCTGCTACTACACCAGGTGGTTACATCACATACTAGCTGTTTACTGCGACTTCATGCGTGTATTAGGAATTACTCAGATGGTGATTAATGTGTATCTAATATAATGGATGTCATTGTGAGGTCTAAATTGCTTTATAGAAGAGTTTTATCAAAATCAGTTAGGATAATTTACTTGTAAGACCAACATATATCCATACATACCTACTAGATATACTATATAATTACATGTATATAGTATTGCTTTTCAAATTATTATCTGTCGTAGTTATGCCAGCTAACTGATATAATTTGTGGTAACTGTCAGTGTGAGACTGATGATGTGGTTTTAAAGATTTCTTTTTTTGCTAAGATTATTTTTATAAAATCAAAGTGTAAAGAGCTACTTGCTGGTGCTTTAATAACTAGATTTAAACTAAGGGCTCCTCAGATGAGAAAACAATTTGTTTTAAAGTAAAACAAGTAGAATTATATTGTTTAGAAATGTGTATTGATAAAAACAATTATTGTTTACAGAAAAATGCGATTTCGTCCTTGTTGTATTTACTAGAACATAATATATCTATATTTATATAATATTCAATAGTAGGTAACATAAATGTCTACAGGCTCTGGAACAAGAGTTGAGTCAATGCGAACAACGAGCGGAGTCCCTTGCAGCCCAGGGCTCCGACCTGGTCTCCAGTGGTCACTTCGACGGCGCGGCCATCGAGAGAGACTCCGCTGCGCTGCTGCAGACCGCCCGGGCGCTCCGCCCTCGAGCAGCCGAGAGGAGACAGGCGCTGGAAACTAGTCTACAGTCAGTATACGATATAACTAAAATAAAATATGATTCAATACAATATTATATAAGAAATGATTAACGGTTGACGGAACAATATATGTATATATGTATGTAATACATATATACAATTGAGCCGGGACGTAGATCTATTTTAAATCAAAAATGTATTAAAGTTATTTAACTGGATAAGGATTCTCCACTTATTTATAGATATCATTATACATACAAACCTTCCTCTTCAAACAATCTATTTTTCAAAAAAAACTGCACCAAAATCCACTGCGTAGTTTTAAGTTATTAAGAATGCATACGGATTAGGGACAAGAAAAGCAACTGTTTTATAATTTATACCATATTAGCTGCGCCCCGAGATTTTACCCGCGGATTTCCGAGATTTCCGGGATGTAAAGTAGCCTATGTGTTATTCCTGGACGTCAGCTTCCTTTACACAAAATTTTATCAAAATCGGTTCAGCCGTTTGAGCGTAAAGAAGTAACAAACGTACATTTTCTTGTTTATTCGTTAGTCTTAAATTGTACCTAAATAATGTAGCACCTGACAAAAATATTGTTTTTGTAATGATTATGCCGTGTACACATACTTAAGAATATAATCAAACTAAAAATAATTTTAGACTGTAACTAATATGTACTCCGGCTTATATTCTGTTGTGTGCCTAAATAAATAAAAAAAAACATACACACTCACAAACTTTCGCAATTATAATATTAGTAGGATAGTAATAGTACATAATCAATTTGAGGACTAATTTTATTCATCCAAATCCTCCACAGACTACACAAGTTCGCTGCCGAGGTTTCAGGAGAGCTAGCTTGGGAGCGCCAGGCCGCCGCTTCATCTGCCACGCGCAGAAGAAACACGCCAAGCTGAGGGCGGAGCTCGAGGGGCGGAGGCCTGTCGTGGAGGGGGTGCTCCAGCGGGGCAAGGAGCTGGACACGCATCCACAGGCTGGGAAGGTGGACTATATATATATATAACTCACATTCTCATGTATTACATAGTAATGTTATATAGTTATATGTCCCATTGTATTTGTAGTGATTATATGTAGGTATTTATTTCTAAGAGAGAAACGCGCGTCCGTTCGATAGTGCAGAACTGAACACCATACCTTGGTTCATCTGAAATATTATATACAGCATGCATAATTAAATTATTCTTGGAAAAAGTTCGGCTAATAATTGATTTTTTTTATATTTTCTGAGTGAATTCTTGAAGTGAAACTTCTTATGCGACTACAAACAAGGTTGCGTTAAAGGTTCAACGTAGGGATAAAAAGATATACAAATGTAGAAAGTAGGAGAGAGATTGAGAGTAGATTCCAAGCACATGTGCATAGTACTGTTGCTTACAGCGAAGTAAACAGTGTGAACGTGACATTAACTGAAACACCAATTTATATTATATATTATTAATTTATGTATATACATATAATTCATTTCCTTAGTCAGTTGTGGCGTAGTGGTTAAAAGTCCCGCCTCTCATGCATGAGGGCGCAGGTTCGGTCCTGGCAAATACCAATGTGATTTTTCCGAGTCATATGTACTTTATAAGAGTGTTTAGACATCACTGATTAATGCATTCCAAAACAGGGTTGATGTCAGGCAGGCGCCCGGTCGTAAAAACAATTAGGCAAAACTATTCACACATCTTTGGCAGACCCTGGCTAAAGGCTGGGAAATTGTTAGGAAGAAGAAGATTAGTTTATGCATATACATATAATTTATTTCCCTACTCCACTCACTAAACTATAACGATCACATTCCAGATCAAGCAGCTATGCCAGGAGCTTGAAGAGGCGTACTCCTCTGTGTCATCAGCGGCGGAGGAGGGCGCGGCCCGGCTGGAGGCGGCGCTCAAGGCCCAGTAGTTCCTGCATGACGCAGCGGAAGTCGACACCTGTCTGGCTGACAGGGCTGCCGCACTGGCTTCCGGTGACGTCGGCAATGATAGGCATAGAGCGACGCAACTACTCACGCGGCAAAAGGTAATATACATATATATACATATCTAGGAATTAGATTTTCGTCATATCACACAATTTTTGAACTACAAGAAATGTATGATAAATCACTATATATATATATACAGGGTGACTGGTGAATTACTATCGATATTTGAGGACGTGATATTTGACGATCATATATGACAAAATAAAAATTAATATAACATAAATATTAATAAACTTCTAAGTAAAGTTAACCAAAAATTATGTAATTAATTACGCATCGTATGAACACCCTACAGATTAGGTATACACACACACTCACACAGACGCGGCGGCGGCGTAGTGTTGTATCAGCACGCCGCCGCACGCGTCCACACTTGGAACACTTGGAACGTGTCAACACTTTATTTATTTATACGGAAATTTGGTCAAAAATTAAGTACCTATTTTTTTTACATAATTCGAATGAGAATCATGTACCGAGTATACTCCTTAAATATTGATAGTAATTCACCAGTCACCCTGTATATATATGTAAGTCATCAAGTGACTTATGAAGTGAAAATTTATCAGTCATTGAGTAGGATCAAATATTTTTAAAACATATATTAAAAATAGGGGTTGGTGATAGAAGAGTGATAATTTAGGGTTGTATGTATTTTATAAAGCCACATTATGAAAGGTTGTCCGAAAAAAATTAAATCAGGTGTTAAAAGTGGGCCGCCCTTATACTTAGGGGTATGAAATATAGATAGTAGCCAATTGTTAAAATTATTGAATATGCATATAAAGTTTCATAAAAATCGGTTAAGCCGTTTGGCAGGAGTATGACATCTAACATATACAGGGTGACTGGTGAATTACTATCAATATTTACGGAGCATACTCGGTACATGATTCTCATTCGAATTATGTAAAAAAAATAGGTACTTAATTTTTTACCAAATTTCCGTATAAATAAATAAAGGGTGGACACGTTCCAAGCGTTCCAAGTGTGGACGCGTGCGGCGGCGTGCTGATACAACACCACGCCGCCGACGCGTGTGTGTGTGTGTGTGTGTATACCTAATCTGTAGGGTGTTCAAACGATGCGTAATTAATTACATAACTTTTGGTTAACTTTACTTAGAAGTTCATTAATATTTATGTTATATTAACTTTTATTTTGTCATATATGATCATCAAATATCACGTGCTCAAGTATCGATAGTAATTCACCAGTCACCCTGTATATACATATATGGACTTAAATCAGAAGAAGTGGTCATTATTTAAATTTCTAACACTTTCAATTAACAGAAATATAATAATACAGAGTATATTCAGCATTAACTTACAATTCCTCTTTAACCTACCAACAGGCCGTAGAACTCGAGTTGGACACATACGCGGCGATCATAGCGGAAATGGGTCACGTGGCGCAATCCATGGCTTCCGGTGGTCATCCTGAGGGAGCGGCGCTGGTCACCAGACATGACCAGCTGGCTGGCAGTCTGGCTAGGCTGCAGAGACTGGCAGCGAGCAGGCAGGCCGCGCTCATGGAGAGTGTGTGCAGGTGAGAGATACTATATATATATATATATATACATATCATATTCGCCGCACTACTTATAATCAAGAAGGGCTATAAGAATTTGTAAATTTGTTTCGAGGTAGTTTAGAAACAGGAGACTGACGTAGCATACTTATCATTAAGCGAGGTCGAAATTTAAATAAATAACTACTTAACAAAGACTTGTTATTTACTGCTTCTTAAGCGTTACACAGTAACGCCTTTCTATTCCTGAAGTTGATTATGAAGAAGTTGCTGACAAAGACTAGTATATGTGTGTTATAGGAATATATAAATAGGATATCCTCTAAAAATTTGTGTGTCTTATGTCTATCCTTAGACATGAATATGTGGCTGAGAGCGCTGAGTTGGAGGAATGGGTTGCGGAGCAGCAAGTAGCCGCCTCCAGTGAAGACTACGGACAAGACTATGAACACTTACTGGTTAGTAACGATATGTAGATGATGATGATGATGATGATGAGAGGGTACTCCAGCCATCACACTTGTTGATGGAGACATTATTCAGTTATATCTTCAAATATTAAGCTTTGAAACTTCACGGAAATCCGTTCAGCAATCCTATTTTTAGAAACTAACGAATGAATGCTAAATTTCGTTGAAATTTAAGTCAATTTGAGGTTTTAGAACGTAATTTAGTGTTTATTTTTTGTATCTCACAAGGATGTGCAAAGATTAGCATGTCATAATATTAAATATACCTAAAGTTTTACAGCTTCATTAAAATATCCTCCAAAACCATTTAATTATATCTATAATCTAAGACATCATATTTCCCCAACCACAGATCCTTAGGTCCAAGTTTGAAGAGCTCTGTCACCGTGTAGAGAGTGGGGCGGAGAGGTTCAACTAGTGTGAGGAGCGGGCCAAGTAGCTGGTCGCCTCAGACAGCCCCTACATCGCTGACATTGAAAAGAGACAGGAAGTGCTCGGGTGAGGGGAACTTGGAAAATGACCCTTAATAACATAGATATAGGATCTAATATAGATACTCAACATGTTCGAATCAAATTTATACCAAAGAATATTGAGACTTAATGACATGTATACAGGTATAGAATCTAAATAAGACATTCCACAAATGCAAATAAATTTGTACAAGTTAAAATAAGACTTAATAACTAGATATGGAATTTAATTTAGACAAAGAAAAATGAGACATAATAACATACACATAAGATCTAATTCAAAAATTCCACATGTCATTTAAAACAAGGCAAAATGAATTTTAATTACATATTTATAAGATCTTATTTACATAATCCACAACTCAAATACAATTCATATATTCCAGCGAGTCCTGGCAGCGTCTGTTAGAACAGATCCAGTCCCGCAGCCAACGCCTGGCTGCTGCTGGCGAGATCCACCGCTTCCACCGCGACGCCGGGGACCTGCTGGCGCGGGCCGGGGAGCGCCGGGCACGCCTCGCCCCGTCCCCCGCGCCCCGCGACCTGCGCGCCGCCGCGCTTGAGGGACCATGACGCAGCCGAGAACGATATGGTCGCTATAGACGCGCAGACTTGAGAAAATTATGACTTTAAACATATTATGTATTTTAAATTAAAACTTCGACAATCATAATAAATGTATCACTAGGTAGTTTAACATATTCTTACAATAAATTAACCATGAAATTTAAAATATACACCCTCAAAGCAACAATAATTGTGTACAAAACAGTGATAAGAAAAGCATCATAGACACAGAGTAACTATTAAGATTGACTTATAATGAAATCTAAGATTTTCGCGAGTATTCATTTAAATGAAACTAATATTTCTTGGATGAACGTTTTGATAAAAAAATACATATTTCCGACGTTTAGTTTAGTTTAGTTTATAAATATTAGTTTCATTTAAATGAATACTTGTCAAAATCTATTTCATAATATCATAGCTCCTCATTTAATGTAGCCTAATTCTGCCTAAATAAGATTTTAACTGATTTTTGCAGTATTTTATAGTTGTAGTAATATACTTCCTAGCCCGGGCAAGTACCAATGTGATTTTTCCGAGTCATATGTACTTTCTAAGAATATTTAGACATCACTTATTAATGCATTCCCAATGAGGGTTGATGTCAGGCAGGCGGTCGGTCGTAAAAACAATTAGCCAAAACTATTCACAACATGTAAGGTAGACCCTGGCTAAAGCTGGGAAGTTGCCAGGTAGAAGAGATAGTTGTAGTGATATTAAATCTATTTCCAGGTGCTCCAGGAGGAAGGATCTCGCCTCCAGCGGTTATGCCCCGGCGGTAACTCCCAGCAGATAGCGCTGAGACAGCAGGCGCTCAGTGAGGCGTGGCGGTCACTGCGAAGTGCTGCAGACCTTAGGAGTAAACTGCTGCACCAATAACTGGAATTACAGACCTTCCTATCCGAGGTATTACTGTGGGATTTCACTATTATACAAAACCTTTATGATCTGATAGTGTTTTAATATATTGCTACATTTGATTAATCTATCTAATTTATATATATTTTCTTTATATACTAATTAATTATTAACGATTTTACGCCTATAAATAATGGGTCCTTTATGATATTTTATTTCCATTAAGACATTATTATCACTTATATGAGAATTACACTTATAACAAAAACATTTATGAATATACAGTTCGACATCGCACTTGTAACAAATATTAAATGAAATAACGTTTAATTAAGAGATATTTTTCTATATTAGGCACTAATTTAATGGTTGTCTTAGTTTTGATTATTTATTATTTAATATATACTATCTGCCCCGCAAACGTTGTTTTGTCATATCAAAAGTAGGGGTTGGTGATAAAAAAAATATTTAGGATTTTATGTATTTTCTTATGACACTTGATAAAAAAATAAAAACAAAACCTTTCGTCCAAATCAAAACAAAATTTAGGGGTGAACAGCCCCTATTACTTAGATTATGAAAAATAGGTATTGGCCGATTCTCAGAGCCTCAGACCTACTCAATATGCTTACAAAATTTCATGAGAATCGGTCAAGCCGTTTCGGAGGAGTACGGAAACGAACATTGTGACACGAGAATTTTATATATAAGTTATATATATCATGAATATCGTTCCCCAGCTCCGTGACGTCATCTCGTGGTCGTCATCCCTCCGCAGCGAGATGTCATCCCCAGCTGCCGCAGGCTCAGCAACAGCTGAGGACGGAGAAAGAGGCGCGCGACGACTGTTTCAAGGACGTACTGGCCAGGGCGCAGAGGTTACTGGATGAGGAACGTCCCAGCTCAGCGGTTAGTACACACTGGAACAATAAGTGTTTATAGTTATTTTTTTATAACGTACTATCGATATTGCACGTGCATCACGAGATAGTAAAAACAAAAAATACTAGTTACATTTCAATGACTACCCGCGAAAGTATATCTCATGAGATAAATATATTCTGATATGTATAACCACAGGTAATTCTGGTTCATTAATCTCACTATTTAATACTAATTATTTCCAGGAGATCGAGGAGCGTTGCCGCGCGGCAGGTGGCGTTGGAGCAGCTAGCTGATCGACTGGCGCTGCTTCCTGAGAGACGATAAAAGTGAAAAGAATATTAAAAAAAACGTAATGGAGTAGATCTTCATTTAAATCCACTTATACAATTTCACCAAGGATAAAAAAATATCCAAATACAGTAGGAAATGTAAAAATGAAAACATAAAATAAAAAGGTTAAAACATGAAAGAAAATTAATCGAAATTAACATTTGTATATTTGTAATTTTATTTTAATATTTGAAAAGGTTAATTTTCTTCTAAAAATAATCAGAATAATCAAAAATATTTATCGAAAAGTTATTACAAAACTATTGCGCCTATCTTAAGATAAAGTTGTTTAAAAACCTTTGTTTCATATAATTTTATACCGTTAATTGACGATCCAGTTAAAAAGTTGTATGTCTTCTTTGATCTGTATATAATTTATAAAATGAAATTAAGTTGTTATTTGGTCTAACAAAATATTTAAAATTAAATTTTTGAAAATTTGCAATAAAATAGTATTGAAAATATGTAATAGGTATGAACATAATGTAACAAAACTTTCTAAATGACTGCAAACAAAACACAAAAAGATTTTAACAAAATATGGGAGTTTCATACTTTCGGATTATCTCAATAATGAGCAAATGAACAAGCTTTATTTGTAACAGTAAAATGTTGAGAAAGAGATTATTTAAAAATTATTGATATTAATTAGTAGACAAAGGCTGTTTGAATACTATTTAATGTAAACCGAAACACCTAGCTTTCTATTAATCTATTACCTAACAAGTCTATTAATCTACCATTATATATATCGGCGCTATCAACTTTAATAACGGATGCGAAATGAAAAAAATTTGAGGCTGTCATCTATTCTTATTAAAACCCATTAGTATTTATGATTATTGTTAAAAGTAAAACGAAATCAAAGATTGTTTAAAAAGAGAATAGAACTATGTACTGTTAAAATATATAATAAATACTGTTTAAATATTGGTATAAATATGACGTCTGGACGCACGACGGCAGAATTAAGAGTTCAGTGAGTGCGTATCATTGAAGTATGTAATTATGAAGAACCTTCGAGAAATACAAGAGCATTGAGAATAATTGAAGTTTCATTTTAAAATATCATGGAACGTACAAGAAGAAGTAACATTAGTAACGTCAGCGAGGCTCTCTTTAAAAAACAACAAATTTGTAATAAATCCGATATATGTATAAAATTATTCAACTTGTATATCTAATCAACTTCTTTATCCTTCTTATCATCATAGAGATTTTTTTTGCTTTTAGTAATTTCAAGTCATGTATTTTTTAAATATGTAAGTACATTTTATTTGGATTATTTTTCACTTTACCTTTTCCATTTCAATCATATTTGGTATCTTATTGCTTAAACGAACAAGTTACTTTAACGTTTTACATAAAGTAATCCTCAAATGGACAAAAATTTCATTGTTTACATTTATTAATAATAGTAGAATAGCCATGGACATGATAAACCTGCTACTCTAAAATAAATAAACAATTGATCAGTTGTCTATAAAGGGCACAGGTGATTATCAATTAATATGGAAATAACAAACCTTTTTTTGAATTCACCAAGCTATTAAGTTAAGAATTATGTTGATTAAATATAATTCACATTGACATCTCATCTGCACTTGATCACGGTTGCTGCAAAGTATCCGGAACGTCGGGAGTATGTAGATATAAAATAATAAAAAACGAGAAGTAATCCGAATAATATTAATTTCATTTAAATGAATACTCGCGAAAGTCTTAGATGTCATTAAGCAACATAATTGTTATTATACCAATTATACCTAAATGAAGCATCAGCTTTTAAATTAAATATGTGTATTATTTTATTAAAAACTTTCATTATTTCTACTTTAATTTTTTTATTGATGCAGACGGTTGATGAATAAGGCGTTTTACAGAGCAGCGAAGGACAAAGTGCTACATAAATTCTGGCAGACTTTAAATAAATTTTGTGCTGGATTTTTAACTTGTTTCTGATGCACTAAAATATCTATTTAATATTGCATTTAACGTCAGTGTTCTGAAGTCACATTAATATACGAGTGCATGATAATTCAGTGAATACTTGGAGCAACTTTAACCATGACATCGTTGTAATATATAGGTACCTATCGTCTGTTTTACTCTTAGTTTGCTGCATCGGAGACCTTCAGTAAATCACTATTTAATTTACAATAATACATATTTGATTTTGAAAGTTTTACACTATACGTAAAATGAATAATTTCCTGAAGGTACGTTCCTATCGAATGATTATTATATTTAAACTCGTTGAACATTCGGCTTTAAAACTAAACGACTTTTTTATTTCCTCAATGTTTAACAAACTGTCATAGGGGTCACAGTTCCTTGTAGTGGACACTTTGATTTAAACTGTAGTGGTCAATACGGTGAGTACGATTGGTCTATCGAGAACGAAATTAAATGAAATTCTCGGAACATTCACGAATATTTTTTAAAGACTGGAAACCTTTATTTTTTATGTGTTATGTGTTATTATTCATGATTCATTCATTTACTGATCGTGTCGACCTCGCCCTGAAGAAATTTATGAATTTAATGTTTTCAGTTAGTTCTGTGAGTGAAATAAAAACAGTATATATCTACCTCTTATCTATACTAATATTATAAAGCTGAAGAGTTTGTTTGTTTGTTTGAAAGCGCTAATCTCCGAAACTACTAGTTCGAATTGAATAGTTCTTTTTGTGTTGGATAGTCCGACTATCGAGGAAGGCTGTAGGCTATATAACATCACGCTACGACCAATAGGAGCTAAGATATAGTGGTAAATGTGTAAAAAACGGGAGAAATTATTTCATCTTTGAAGCCTTCCGCTGCGTGCGCCGTCAAAACGGTTCAAGATACACAAAAAATATGTAGTAAAGAATAATATGTAGCTCTTTTAATGATCTAAAAAACAGTCCTGGACAGTATATGTCTATCTTTTAAGATTAACTCACAAAAACCGTTTTTATGGTACCTAATTTTGTCGAAATAATTTGTTTAAGTTGTATCAAAATAATAATATTAATCTTTATTCATATAAACAAATAAATATGTTGTTGGTTAAGAGTACTTCATTATTAATAAAAAAAAAGTATAGGTTACATCCTGAAAGTTCTACGGGAACTCGACCATTCCGAAAACCCCGCAAGAACGGGTACTATGTGGGAAGAACCAAAAAATCTGTCGGAAGTAACTATTCCACGCGGACGAAGCAGCGGCAAAAGCTAGTGTATTATAACAGGATATAATAAAGCCGTAGATATTGAATTTAAAACACTTTCACTGGAATAGAAGAAAATTTTTATAAATGTCATTTGGCATCAGTTGGGACAACAATAGGGCTTCATAGATATTCATGAAATACAACTCAACATTTTGTTTCGTATCCATAGGAATGATCTTTTAATAAATTACATTGGTCCGTTTGTCGATACAAGATATGAAAGCAGTTACAGATTATGTAGCATAGTTCCGTTATTCTGTTCACATTACTGATGACTGTACGTATGTACGTATGACCTCCTTCTAAGATGTGTTCAACAAAAGGTATTACTATCTTAATGTCACTCCTTCACTCTTATAAAGTTTCATGTGTACGTGAACTGACTGTTTATATTATTATCATAAGCAAAATATAATTAAGATTATTTTAAAATAAATGCTTTTATTAATAGTGCACTTCGGATTTAAATTTCAGTGACATGAGTATAACAAGTAACGCTAGTAACATTACAAAGACAGTGTAAGAAGAAAAAAACATTGAAGTTGGTTGATGAATCTACTGTATGTAGAAGGTTGAAGTGTTTGATTAACTTGCAGTTTTTAACTGATATATTATACAAAGAGTTTATTAACACGAATGTTCATGGATGTTTTTTATGCTGTTTAAAGTATATTTTAATATTTAGTTCTACAATACTATAAACATTGTGTATTGAATAAATATAATTTACACAAATATAGGGTAAATATTTTTCATTAAATGACTGTATTAGCTCAAACAAAATGTACATTTTTTTCCCTTACAAATAAGGCGAGATGTTTTCATCATTAACTGACTTCAAATTATTGCCTTTGAAGATAAGACTCCCGAAGGAAGTGAAAAAAGTTTTATTAAAATTATTGAACCGCGAACCTCGGATCTGTAATAATCAGTCGAAGGTCTATGAAGCAATTTTTTCCTGAACATTAAAATAATATGTAATCCTTACAATAATGTTTCTTGCTTTTCAATTTTATGTAAGTTTCTAAAAAGATGCCATTATAAACAAAGGCTCTGTCATATCACCTTATAATTGTAATGATCCCGATGATATTCTTTACTACACTTTTGAGCTCAGTGATAACCAGTCGTGTAGAATAGAAAGACTCAGAAACACAATACTCGTACACAATGACAGTTGTCCGTCTGAACACTTGAAACAAACAGTAGATTAGAAGTGTTAATACTCCTGATATATATAACAACTATGTAGTTCAACCTTCGGTTTGATTAAATAGAATATGTCTATTTTTCCATTATTAAAGCACCGTTTCAACAATTTACCAGTAACCATGATCACGAGGACGCGGATTGAACGTCTATTCGTAAGTCTTACTTCTCGTCATCGAAGAAGTATTCATAGTTTTATTTTTTAATTTGATTTATAATCAAGTAAGCAGTAACCTCCAGTTAGTGTGACCGTAATCAGAACTACAATCAGAAAAATCAGCGTTTTCTTCATACAAACACGTAAAGTCAAACATCGTGCTAGGAAACGCAGCTTCTCCCAACCCTATCGATTTATGGAGAATTATAACTTTGAGCTGTGTGCTCGTGAATTATACGAAAATGAATTTGATACCAACTTAAATTCCGTCTATATCATCCGATATCTCTGTCTGCCTCATCCGATTTCATCTGTTGCACTCCACTTTGTTCATACTATAATATTTTAGAATTACAATCAAGTTTGTGTACGTGCGTACGTAA